AATGGCTGATTTTACTACTCAGTGCTTATAAAATGATTTTATGAAAGTCATCAAATAATAAGCTACCATATTTGACTTTCTGGAAAAAATTACTTGGTTACATTAAAACCTAGAATCATCAGATTTGGGAATTTTGGTTTTATAGCTATATGTGGATCTTTTCTGCTCATTTTACGTGTGAATTTTATCTGCTCGTGCCACAGTAAGGAAAAAAATAGGTTGAAATAAGAAGTTGAGATCCTCTGCAAATCTAACCCGTAGAGCCCCACCCCTACTGTCAGCCTGTGAGTCTCTGGGCAGTAGTCACCTGATGAGGTGCCCCCTTGTTTCTCTTTGGGGTTCTCAGGGAGGTGAGTCTGGGGCGGGTTAGGTAGGCAGAGAGGAGGCTCAGGTGGAGTCAGAAGCCAAGGTAAAAACCCTGAAAATGTTCTGAGGGGACTACCTGCTCAGACCAAGGGACCCCATGGAGTTCCATTTCTGTTGTCAGTCCTGGGTAGGCCCAGGCAGGGGTAGCATCCTTTCTGTGTCAGAGCGAGAGGCCCCCTCAGCCCTCACTCTGGATAATCACCCAGATTCCAGGCACATTCTCCTCTGCTGACCTGAGGGCCGCCACTCAGACCAAGGCCCACACCTCCCTGAGACCCCTGAGGAGGAATTGAGGGAATATGACTTCTGGCTCCCTCTGCCCAGGACCTCCAGGACTGCCCACGGTAAGGACCCTTTCTCTAATGTGACAAACTAGAATCAACAAGATATTTAATGAACATTCTACGTTTCCTACTGTCGACAGGCATCTGGTATTATTGAGGATTGGAACAGGCTTCTAAAAATTGGCTTGAAAAGGCTTGAAAATGAACAACTCGATTAACACATAGGTGAAGGATCTGAACAGACACCTCATCAAAGAAGTTATACAGATGGCAAATAAGCATGTGAAAAGATATTCCATATCATATGTCATCAGAGAAATGATAATTAAAACAATAATGAGATACTGCTACATACCTATTTGAATAGCAAAAGCCCAAAACACAGCACCAAATGCTGGCAAGGTTGTGGAGCAACAGGAACTCTCATCTGTTGCTGGTGGAAATGCAAATGGTACAGCCACTTTAGAAGAGAGTTTGGCAGTTTCTTACAAAACTACACATACCTTTCCATATGATCCAGCAGTTGCACTCCTTGGTATTTACCGAAGGAAGCTGAAAACTTACGTCCACACAGAAAGTTGCACGTGGATGTTTATAGCAGCTTTAGTCATAATGGTCATAACTTGGAAGCAACCAAGATGTCCCTCAGTAGGTGAATGGATGAGTAACCAGTGGTACATCTAGACAGCAGAATATAATTTAGCACTAAAGGGAAATAAGCTATCAAGCTATGAAAAAAATTGGAGGAACCTTAAATGTGTATTATAAGTAAAAGCCAATCTGAAAAGGCTACATGCTGTATGATTTCAAGTATATGACATTCTGGAAAAGGCAAAACTGGTGACAATAAAAAGATCAATGGTTGCCAGAGGTTAGGGAAAAGGGAGGGATGAATAGGTGGAATACATGATTTTCAGAGCGGTGTTAGTATTAGTCTATGTAATACTAAAATGATGGGTACATGTCTAAACCCATAGAATGTATAGTAGTAGCAAGAGTGAGCTGTAATGTAAATGTGAACTTCCAGTGATAATGATATGTAGGTCCATTGATTATAACAAATGTACCTCTCTGGTTTGGGATGTTGATGGTGGGGGAGACTCTGCATGTTTGGGGACAGGGAGTATATGAAAACTCTGTGTATTTCCTGCTCAAATTTGCTGTGAACCTAAAACTGCTATAAAAATAAAGTCTATTATGTGTGTGTGTATCATAGATATGTATATGTATGTATGTATATGTATATAAAATGACATCCGATGCTACTTTCTTTGACTTTTCCTAGTTCACATACCTGAGTAAGGCAATTTGGTCAGTAAATGCAGCTGTCCCTCTGTGGGTCAGATGCTCAGTTTTGACAAGCAGTCAGTAGCATGCTAATAACTAATTGGTTTTTAAAACCTGTTAGCCCTGTTTGGGAGGTGAAGAGTTCAAAACTCTGAGGAACGCTTCTGGGTGAAGGCCGACTCCCATTGTCCAAGGCTGCAAATAGCAAAATCATCAGTTACAGTGACTTGGAGCTCAAAGGGGCCATTAGGACTGTGGAGCACAAAGGTGGAGCAGACGAGGCTCAGAGTAGGCACTTTGAGAGTCATGAGATAAGGCTAGAGAGGTAAATAGGATCTTGATATTTTCCAGAGTCTGATAGCCAGTGTTCAAGGTTAGGGGTTTTATTCTAATGGCATTGAGAAACCACCAGTGGATGTTAACTAGTGGATAACGGATTGGAGGATGGGAGGATAGAAAAGATGTGTGGATAACAGATTGGAGGATGGGAGGGTAGAAAAGAGAGTCAGAATGGTTGTACCAAGACCAGTGGGATTCAGTGTGACAATGGTGTCAGTATGGATGGGTGGATTTGAAATAAATTGTGGAGGTGAGTAAAAATGTCTTAGTGATGCATCTGATGTAGAAATTTTAAGAGATGGTGTTGTTAAGAATGATCCTAAAGTTTCAGTCATTAAGGTGCTCGACAGATATATGGAGCTGGGGAAAACCAGTATCAAATTTGGTGTGAGAACTCAAGCATTGGGTTTGAATTTCTGTGAGACAGCCAAGTGAAAACATTGAGTAGGTGTATATGGATTGGATATAAATGTTGGGATGAGAAAGTTAAATTTAGGAGTCAGCAACAAATTGATGATATTTGAAGCCATGATAAATCATTAGGAGAAACATGTATTTGAGAAGATAAAGGGGACTAAGGGCTGAACCCTGATGAGCTCCATGTTTAAAGGTTGAGTAGAGCGGGAGAGGTTTAGTGGAAGACTGAGAGGGGCCACTTAGGCTGGAGGATGTTCAGGAAGATGTGCTGTCAGAGCCAGAACAAGAGATGATCTCAAGTGTACTGAAGACCATGTGTACTGAGAGGTTAACCTGCATGCTCTTTGTCCCAAATTTGAAATGAAAATGTGTTTCACAGTTACAGAAAGTACTTGTCTGGAACATGAATGAATCCACCTTTATATTTTATTTACTGGTAGGTAATTTTTAATTATTAAAGTTGTAAGTATCATGGACTTTATAAAAATTTATTTATATGAATATACATATGCACACATACAGACTCCCTGGGTTTGTGTAGGAATTATTGAGAATAGCTAGTGAAAGCAAGCTTTTTCGTTGCAGGTAAGCCTTAAGTTATTTTGTTTTAATTGGGGTGGACATTTATTAATGCATTTTTGCACATTTTATTTCTTTCCTTAAATTGTGGTAAAATATACCTAACAAAATTTACCGGTTTAACCATTTTAAGTATACAATTCAGTGGCATTAAGGTGCATTTACATTGTTGTTCAGACATCACCATCAATCTCCAGAATGTTTTTCATCTTCCAAAACAGAAACTCTGTACTCATTAAACAGTAACCCGCCCAGTGCCCCATCCTTCCAGCCCCTGGCAACCATCATTCTACTTTACATCTCTATGAATTTGACGACTCCACTCTAGGTACCTTATATAAGCATAATCATACAGTGTTTGCCCTTTTGTGACTGGCTTATTTCACTTAGCATAATGTCCTTAAGGTTTATCCATGTTGTATCTATCATGTCTCAGAATCTCCTTCCTTTTTAAGGCTGAGTAATATTCCATTGTTTGTATAGACCACATTTTGTTTATCTCTTCATCTGTTGATAGACTCTGGTTGCAGGGCTATTGTGAATAATGCTACTATGAACATGGGTGTACTAGTATCTGCTTGAGTCTCTGCTTTCAATTCTTTGGGTATATGACATATATCCAGAAGTGGAATTGCTAAGTCATATGGTAATTCTATTTTTAATTTCTTTAGGAACTGCTATATATTTTTTTCATGGAGGCTTTATCGTTTGTCATTTTCATCAACACTGCAGAACTGTTCCAGTTTCTCCACATCCCCGCCAACATTTGCTATTTTCTGGGCAGAGTTGGGGGTTGGTTTTTGATAGCAGTCATCCTAATAGATGTGAGGTGGTACCTCTTTGTGGCTTTGATTTATATTTCCATAATGATTAATAATGTTCAACATCTTTTTGTGTTCTTTTGGCTATTGCGTATCTTTGCTGGAGAAGTGTCACCTCTGAAAGCAGTAACTTTAGATTTTATTCTGATAAAATGCATATGTCTTAATATACTTTCAGAATATCACCAATTTTTGGTTCTCCCATTTTCTTGAACAAATTGCTTTATTTGGAATCTAACACATACTCAAAGACATTGAGAAAATAATACTAAATTATGCTTTTGAAAAACGTGCCCTATATTGTTTAAAAAGTAAAATGAAAAGCAGGGAAATTTTAACATTTGTGTTTCAAGTCACTTCTTTTCATTTTGTTTTTATATAAATTAGTAAATGCATTTTTATTGTTCTTTAATGTTATTCTACAAATCTACCTAAAAACCTTACTGAATCTTTCATTAAAATGTCTGATCAGTCAGTAGAGATGACTTTAAAGAGTCAAACCTCTAAGGAAGGTAGTTTCTGGGTAAAAATCATATGAAAGAGCATTTAGTTTCATTTTCACAGTGTTTTTCTTTTGTAGCTTTTCATAAGGAGTGGTTAAATAATTGTAAGTTTTTTGCATATAGTGTATTCACACACCACACACACACAGAGAGAGACCATTTGAGTTCATCTACTTAAAATTCTTTTAGAAACCAAGTCACAGCGAAGTTAATGTCACAGTCTAAGTTAACATAGCTTGTTTGCACAGAGTTGGGACTGAGAAAATACCTTGTTTCAGTTCATTGCCAGAATCCTGTAGCATTTTATAAGCAGATTAATTTCTTCAAATAAATATTTTAATTGGCTCTCTGCTTGCTTGTTTTTTTTTTTTAACAGAAATATGTCTACCTGTTTTCTTTAACAGTTATTTCGAGAAGTACGAATAATGAAGATACTGAATCATCCTAATATAGGTATGAAATATATATATAAAATCAGCAATGAAGTGTTTTCCTTAATTTGAGGGTATTTGAAAAGACACATTTTTTTTTTTTTTTTGAGACGGAGTCTCGCTGTGTCGCCCAGACTGGAGTGCAGTGGCGCGATCTTGGCTCACTGCAAGCTCCGCCTCCCGGGTTCACGCCATTCTGCTGCCTCAGCCTCCGAGTAGCTGGGACTACAGGTGCCCGCCACCACGCCCGGCTAGTTTTTTGTATTTTTAGTAGAAACGGGGTTTCACCATGTTAGCCAGGATGGTCTTGATCTCCTGACCTCGTGATCCACCCGCCTCGGCCTCCCAAAGTGCTGAGATTACAGGCTTGAGCCACCGCGCCGAGCCTGAAAAGACACAATGTTTAAGGATAGTTTATTTAAGCAGAAGAAAAGTGATAACCTGAATGATAACCCAGGAAAGTGATACTTTGGGTAAAAATAGATTACAAAGAAGCTAACTGGAAGCTACAGATTGCTGTTTTCTGCTACCTTGCTATCTTCTGCTCTCCACTGAAATAATTGATACCATTTGGAATTAATGCATACAATTTTTTTTTAATTTCCTGATTAAATGTCTCTAAATTTAAAAAAAGAAAATGTCTTTCTGGCTGGGCATCGTGGCTTATGCCTGTAATCCCAGCACTTTGGGAGGCTGAGGCAGGTGGATTGTCCCAGTTCAGGAGTTTGAGACCACCCTGGGCAACATGGCAAAACCCTGTCTCTACTAAAAAAAAAAAAAAAAAAAAATTAGCCAGGCGTGATGGTGCACACCTGTAGGCCCAGCTACTCAGAAGGTTGAGGTGGGAGGATTACTTGAGCCTGGGAAGTGGAGGTTGCAGCGATCCAAGATCGCACCACTGCACTCCAGCCTAAGCAACAGAGACCCTGTCTCAAAAAAAAAAAAAAAAAAAAAAAAAGTCTCTAAGTGAGATTGCAGGCCATTTAGGTATTTATTTTAAAAAAAAATGACTTTCAAATATTTTGATACTATGCACTTGGGTTTGATCATAGTTTACAGGCAAAATAACTGCATTTTAAAGAAAATAAGTTGATTTCAATTTTAGTAAAATTTTTCAGTAAGTTCTGATTTCTCCCCATCTTTACAAATAAACTTATTGATTAGATATATTATTATATGAAATCATTTGATTGTGAGAAGTAAAATTCTTTTTAAAATCTGTTTTTTTAAAACACCTTGTTTTTGCACATTTAAAAATCTTACTGTATATAGTTGTTAAAGTGCTTATTTGTGGTGACTATTTCAACTACATAAATTTGATAATTTGGTAGTTTTTCTAACCAGAAACTTCTATAATATGACAGAAATACAGAAATTCTTTTGTTTCTGTACCAAAGATTATTTAACATTTTATAATTGCTCACCGTAATATAACATAGTCTCTTTTTAAACTTCAGTTTAAAATTCTATTTTTCTGATTTTAAGAGTTCCTTTTATTACCTTATTGAAAAAGTAATGGCTTTTTAATCCTAGAAACTTAACTTTTTCAACTTAAGAAGTTGGTTCTAAATCACTTTGTGGTAAGTAGTTTTCTGTCATAGGAGTAATAATCTTTGAGAGACTTTTTGAACTTAAAATTGTGATTAATAATGTTTAGTAAATAGTCAAGTTTTCTACTAGTTTAGTATTACCTTAGATTTTCTTAAAGCATATTCAATCTGTGCTAACAGTTATAGAGTTATATCTCTAATTTTTTTTTTCAGTAAAATTGTTTGAAGTTATTGAAACAGAGAAGACTCTCTATTTAGTCATGGAATACGCGAGTGGGGGTAAGAATGAGGGTGATTGAAAAGTTCTCTTTGCTGAGACATACAGAAATATTAACACCTAAGGGTTCATTATGACATTTATGTCTTCAGTGTTGTTAATGAATCTGTTGTTTTATTTAAATGCCTTCAAATGACATCTTAAGAAAAATTCAGTGTTTGCTTTTAAGACCTTTTGATCCTACAGTATTATAAGTGGAATTTTTGGCTTATTTACAGTTTACTTAGGGACATTTTTTGAAACGTTAAATTTGTATTGTCATCTTATAAATGTATTGATTCTCTTACCTAAATTTTATTATATCATATCATGATTAGAAACTCTTGGCTATCAGCAGGGAATCTCAAGTACAGAATGTATTTAATAAAATCTGTAATAAAAGCTTGTTCTAGGTCAGGCGTTTATTTCACTGATTGTTCACATATGACAGATTTTCAATATATATGCCTTTCCAAGATAATTCATAAAATGAATTAAATGTTTCCATTTAAACAAGTATTGATCTATACATTTTACATGTTAGAGGACTGAGTTGACAGGGAGATAGCAAGATGCATTTGTAGTAGAATATCACATATGTTTTGACTATCATGATGTCAAAAATAGGAATGATTTTTAAACACTGATGTGTAATAGAAAATCACCTTCATCTCCTGCACTTTCCCTTAAACGAGAAATGCGTCAGCTCAGAATCACTTTTCTCTTAGACTTAGGACTTCACTTTCTCAGAAATGGGTTGAAAATTTATGGAATTAATCATTTAATAAGTAAAAATAAAGAATACTTAAAGGGAGATTTTAAGGGCTCAGGATTTAAGCAACTGAAGAAGAAAGAAGGCATCTGAAATTATTTGGCTGATTGATTTTTTGCTAATCGATAGAAAAACTTAGTGTTGAACTTATATTGAGCTCTTAGCTAATGAAATTTATAATTTTTATGGTGATTCAGATTTTATGTGAACTAGAATAAAAAGGATTTATCTAGTCTGTAGCAACTAAACTATATTTATACTGTCTTGTATTTCTTTTTTTTTTTTGAGACGGAGTCTTGTTCTGTTGCCCAGGCTGGAGTGCAGTGGCGCAATCTCAGCTCACTGTAAGCTCTGCCTCCCGGGTTCACTCCGTTCTGCTACCTCAGCCTCCCAACTAGCTGGAGCTGCAGGTGCCTGCCACCATGCCTGGCTAATTTTTTTGTATTTTTAGTAGAGATGGGTTTTTGCTGTGTTCGCAGGGATGGTCTGTATCTCCTGACCTCATGATCTGCTCGCCTCCGCCTCCCGAAGTGCTGGGGTTACAGGCGTGAGCCACTGCACCTGGCCTCGTATTTCTAAAAAGCTTTACTATAGATGTTAATATATTTAATTGCGTTTGCAGTTGTTTATACAGATTGAATATTTTAGTCCTTTTTTTTTTTTTTGGCAAAGCTTTTGTAACCAGAAAAAGTATTTCAGTGTAGGTTCTTTTACTTAACTTGAAAATCTATCATTAATGTTTATTATGATAGGCTTTTAAAAATTATATTAAAACCATGTAAATTTGCATAAAATGTGTATCTATAATAAAAGTAATGAATCTACAAATACCACATAATGAACTATTTCTTTACTTTTATGTCCTTCAGTTAGATTGCTGTAATAATCTGTCGCATAGGAACCCCGAATATTATTTTTAGTTTATTGGACTCTTTTCTTCCTTTTAGTGATGTAAAGTTTAGAGAAAGGAGCTAGATCCACTTTAATTTGGAAAATTATTATAGACTGCTAAAATTCTGTAGACACCCTTATGTTTTTATAAAGGCCCACTGCAAGGCTGTGTTAATATTAATATGTATACTGGCTTAATGATTGATGGTAAGTACAGTCAACTCTCTATTGGTGCTAATGAAGGGGAGTAATGGCTAGAGTAAGAGTATGTAAGGCCTTCACCACTCTCCTTCAGTAGCATATTTGGGAGGCACAGTGGGGAGTAGTGTAGAGAAATGGGTACAGGAATTCAGACCATACCAGCTAGTCTCATTAAATTCTGATTCCTGCAATAGGTTTTCTTTGAGTTTTGCAAGTTAGTGATTCTGTGACAAAAACCATCATGGTTCTGTGATAGTCCAGAATCATTTTCTTGCCTTTTTAATCCATAAATGGCAAGGTGACTCTGGAAAATAAAACACTGAATATTTTTCCTCTGAAGTTTCTAGTTGGTTTAGGATCAAACCTGACATGTACACTAGAAAGGTAATGTGAATAAGAATTAAGTCAGACAACTGCCTCTTTGCCAAGAGTTGATTCTGGTTCACTAATGGAATGAAAATTTTCAGTGATTAGAAAATCAAATACATCTTTTTTTTTTATTTTGAACCATGTTTAATCCAAACGAGCCTATTAAAAGTAGGTTTCAGGACTACTGTGAAATGATATGTTTATTCTTTCTTTTGTTCATTCAAACAACATTTATAAAATGCTTACCATATATCAGGTAATGTTCTAGGTGCTGGGAATACATGAGTGAGCAAAGACAAAGTCCCTGCCCTCAAGACGCTTACATTCTAGTTGGGGAAGTAAATCATACACAAACAATATATGATAAGTACAGGATTATGTCATGTAAATACCTGGGGTAAGTGTATTCTAGGCAGTACTTAAGAGTAGATCCAAATTTTTCGAACTCTTGTATATATCTTTCCCAGCCTAAACTCACATATCTAGAATTAACTACTGTGATGGGTTAACTAGAATTAACAACTATTACCACATACCTAGAATTAACTACTATGATGAGTCAACTAAAGCATCCATTCATTTCTCTGTTCTCATCATCCCATTTAATCACTTAAATATGCTTAATATTATATAATATGCTGTCTAACATTGTAGATGTATTAGTTTCATGTGACATACATTCATTACGTATTTGGTTTTTAATATTTTATTTATATCCTAGGATTGATATTGCATATATATATATAATGTATCTGTATACCTAGGTACAAAAATGCCATTTATTGAGTGCTTACTATATGCCAGTTGCTGTGCTAAGCACATGTATTATTTCATTTAATACTTACAACAACCATGTGAGTAGGCAGTAGGTAGAAACTGAGTCTTAATGAAGTTAAGAAATCTTCCCAATAATGTCTTTCAGTAGTACTTAGGGCTAAAACAAAATTCATACCAAAATTGGTCTGATTCTAAAGTCTGAGTTTTTGTTTTTACCACTTTGCTATACTTTATAAGAACACTTGAAGCCATTTTGTGAGTTTTTAATATACATGGATATCTATATGGTACAAATTATAAGGACACAAAAATAAATTTAACTCTTATACTAAGATAATATCTTATTTTTAAAATTGTGTCTCAAGTTTAATTTAGTTTTAAGCTATTACTAACTAGAGAAAAAGGAGAAAAACTTACAGACATGTAAAGTAATGGATCTAGTAGAAAATTTCTACAGCTTCTAGTTATTTTTAAATTATTTTACCAAACATTTATCTATCCACTTTGTGTTCTGCCATGGAGATGAAGATGCAAATTAAGTACAGATATTATGATGATGTTCAAGCAATTTACAGTTCATCTGGGGTAATAGAGATACACACACAAAAGATTTAATTCTGTATAATTTGCGGCTAACTACTGAAATGTATGAAATGAGTAGAGTGAGAATAAACACAGAGTATAGGAAAAGAAAGAAACAAATCAATGTGGATGGAAGTAGTGAGATGGAATTTTATCCAGGCTACGTGACAGGGAGAATTTAAAAGAGCAATCCAACAAAAAACACTTAATCATTTTGTTTGAAATGTAGGCCCCAAATACAAAGCCAAATTTAATTTTTGATTTCCCAGGCTGTGTCTTCCCTTTACTAGAATGAATAATAAAGAGTTGACTGTATTTTTACATAATACTTGAAAGCAGAAAGCAAGTTTCTTGGTTGTGTTTTTATGACTTATTTTTTAAAGAGTTTTGCTAAATCACAAACTGCTGCAGATACTCAATTTTATATGTAATTTTTTCCTTTTTTCTATTCATGTATTAGTTTGTAACTTACATAAACTAGCAGAAAATTGTGGGCCAAAAGTTTCTTTATAAACAAGGAAAAAACTTGACATTGCATATATTGTTAACCAAAAATCTATGTATATTTTACTACCTGCTTTACCTTTCTGATTCAGGTGAAGTATTTGATTACTTAGTTGCCCATGGAAGAATGAAAGAGAAAGAGGCCCGTGCAAAATTTAGGCAGGTATGGAAAGTAGTTTTCAACTTTGTTTTACTGATATTTGTAGTGATGTACAATGGACATTATTACAAACTGGACTTCACAGCACACGGTATTTTTTAAAAAGAAGAATTCCTGCTTTCTTATATTTTTAAGGATGAAAAACTCCTAAAAAATAAACCTTTCTGAATTTAAATTTAAATAGTAGCAGATGGTTATTTTTAGATTGTCATGAAGAGTAAATATTTATAGATGAGACTCACCCTGTTAACTCTCTGAGAGTCCTGGAAACATAGACTAGACTGACATAGAAAAAACATAGTTAACCCTTTGAAGTCTTTATCCAATAATTATTATAAATTATTACTGGCTTTATATATACAGCATGTATGTGTACTATTTAAAGAGTATTGTATTATATTCTTTTAATTAAAGATGTTTTGGTGTTTAAACTCATTTTTGTAGATTTAAAGCATATGGTCAATTTTATTTAACCAAGTAGGCAAGAAACTTTGCAAAATGTGGCAGAGGAATATGGTAAGATACTCATATTTCCAGTTCAACTTGAATATGACTTATTACAGAAATAATAAAATAAGAAAAAATAAATTTATCTAGAATTTTATTTTTAATTTTTAGAACTGAAGTGATTGAAATAAGCATACATATAAGTTACCATAGAAATAGCAAATTAATGAATTGTAAATTGTAAGCATACATATAAGTTACCATAGAAATAGCAAATTAGTGAATTGTAAATTGTTCATAAAATTTACTAAAATTTAGCGGACAATTTACTATATCCTAAACTTTTACTAAATTTAGAATTTTTAAAATGGCTCGCTACCTCTTCTACCTGCATGAACACTTTAATTTTACAATTAAAGAGGTTCTGTAATCAATATGTTGGGAAAAGACCAAATACTGATATAAGTTCTTTCTCTAAGATATGTACATGTGTGTTAACATGTGAAACAAATAGAGAGAAGTCCTGAAAGGGAGGGGAAGAAAAAGTCTGTTTAACTTGTAACATGGCATTCTCCAAATTGACCATGAAATGAGTGTGTGTGTTTTGTGAAACCTCTGTTATTAATATCTCACAGAATTATTGCTTTTTGGAACACAATTTGTGAAATGCTTTATACCAAAGATGTGCATAGCCCTTTTATTTGGGATAGATTCCTAGAAATATTCATGTTAAAATAGCTGAATGTAAAGACAACTGGTAATAAGGAAAACAACATTAAGAAACTGAATGGCATCCAACCACGTACTGTTAACTTATTTTCTATCCTGGGATGGAAGTTCAAGCTTACCCTTAAATAAAGTATTACACACATCATTTTTTAAATTTTTTTATTTTTTATTTTTCTTCCTTTTTAAATTATACTTTAAGTTCCAGGGTACATGTGCACAACATGCAGGTTTGATACATAGGTATACATGTGCCATATTGGTGTGCTGTACCCATCAACTCATCATTTACATTAGGTATTTCTCCTAAGGCTATCCCTCCCCCAGTCCCCCATCCCACGACAAGCCCCGGTGTGTGATGTTCCCCCACCCTGTATCCAAGTGTTCTCATTGTTCAGTCCCCACCTATGAGTGAGAACATGCAGTGTTTGGTTTTCTGTCCTTGTGATAGTTTGCTGAGAATGATGGTTTCCAGCTTCATCCATGTCCCTGCAAAGGACATGAACTCATCCTTTTTATGACTGTGTAGTATTCTGTGGTGTATATGTGCCACATTTTCTTAATCCAGTCTATCATTGATGGACATTTGGGTTGGTTCCAAGTCTTTGCTGTTGTGAATAGTGCCGCAATAAACGGACGTCTGCATGTGTCTTTATAATAGCATGATTTATAATCCTTTGGGTGTATACCCAGTAATGGGATTGCTGGGTCAAATGGTAGTTCTAGTTCTAGATCCTTGAGGAATCGCCACACTGTCTTCCACAATGGTTGAACTAATTTATACTCCCACCAACAGTGTAAAAGCATTCCTATTTCTCCACATCCTCTCCAGCATCTGTTGTTTCCTGCCATTTTAGTGATTGCCATTCTAACCATTCTAACTGGTGTGAGATGGTATCTCATTGTGGTTTTGATTTGCATTTCTCTGATGGCCAGTGATGAGCATTTTTTCATGTGTCTGTTGGCTGCATAGATGATTGTTTTGAGAAGTATTCTTTGCCTACTTTTTGATGGAGTTGTTTTGTTTTTTTCTTGTAAATTTCTTTGAGTTATTTGTAGATTCTGGATATTAGCCCTTTGTAAGATGGGTAGATTGCAAAAATTTTCTCCCATTCTGTCGGTTGCCTGTTCATTCTGATGGTAGCTTCTTTTGCTGTGCAGAAGCTCTTTAGTTTAATTAGATCCCATTTATCTATTTTGACTTTTGTTGCCATTGCTTTTGGTGTTTTAGTCATGAAGTCCTTGCCCATGCCTATGTCCTGAATGGTATTGCCTAGATTTTCTTCTAGGGCTTTTATGGTTTTAGGTCTAACATTTAAGTCTTTAATCCATCTTCAATTAATTTTCGTATAAGGTGTAAGGAAGGGATCCAGTTTCACCTTTCTACATATGGCTAGCCAGTTTTCCTAGCACCATTTATTAAATAGGGAATCCTTTCCCCATTTCTTGTTTTTGTGAGGTTTGTCAAAGATCAGATGATTGTAGATGTGTGGTGGTATTTTTGAGGCCTCTATTCTGTTCCATTGGTCTATATCTCTGTTTTGGTACCAGTACCATGCTGTTTTGGTTACTGTAGCCTTGTAGTATAGTCTGAAGTCAGGTAGCATGATGCCTCTAGCTTTGTTCTTTTTGCTTAGGATTATCTTGGCAATGTAGGCTCTTTTTTGGTTCCATATGAATTTTAAAGTAGTTTTTTCCAATTCTGTGAAGCAAGTCATTGGTAGCTTAATGGGGATGGCATTGAATCTATAAATTACTTTGGACAGTATGGCCACTTTCACGATATTGATTCTTCCTATCCATGAGCATGGAATATTCTTCCATTTGTTTGTGTACTCTTTTATTTCATTGAGCAATGGTTTATAGTTCTTGAAGAGGTCCTTCATATCCCTTATAAGTTGGATTCCTAGTTATTTTATTCTCTTTGTAGCAATTGTGAATGGGAGTTTATTTATGATTTGGCTCTCTGTTTGTCTGTTATTGGTGTAGACGAATGCTTGTGATTTTTTGCACATTGATTTTGTATCCTGAGACTTTGCTGAAGTCGCTTATCAATGTAAAGAGATTTTGGGCTGAGATGATGGGGTTTTCTAAATATACATTCATGTCATCTGCAAACAGGGACAACTTGACCTCCTCTTTTCCTAACTGAATACCTTCCTTTCTTTCTCTTGCCAGATTGCCCTGGCCAGAACTTCCAACACTATGTTGAATAGGAGTGGTGAGAGAGGGCATCCTTGTTTTGTGCCAGTTTTCAAAGGGAATGCTTCCAGTTTTTGCCCATTCAGTATGATATTGGCTGTGGGTTTGTCATAAATAGCTCTTATTATTTTGAGATACATTCCATCAACACCTAGTTTATTGAGAGTTTTTAGCATGAAGGGCTGTTGAATTTTGTTGAAGGCCTTTTCTGCATCTATTGAGATAGTCATGTGGTTTTTGTTGTTGGTTGCTTATGTGATGGATTACATTTATTGATTTGCGAATGTTGAACCAGCCTTGCATCCCAGGAATGAAGCCGACTTGATCACGGTGGATAAGCTTTTTGATGTGCAGCTGGATTTGGTTTGCCAGTATTGTGTTGAGGATTTTTGCATTGATGTTCATCAGGGATATTGGTGTAAAATTCTCTTTTTTTGTTGTGTCTCTGCCAGGCTTTGGTATCAGGATGATGTTGGCCTCATAAAATGAGTTAAGGAGGATTCCCTCTTTTTCTCTTATTGGAATAGTTTCAGAAGGAGGGGTACCAGCTCCACTTTGTACCTCTGGTAGAATTCAGCTGTGAATCCTTCTGGTCCTGGACCTTTTTTGGTTGGTAGGCTATTAATTATTGCCTCAATTTCAGAGCCTGTTTTTGTCTATTCAGAGATTCAACTTCTTCCTGGTTAAGTCTTGGGAGAGTGTATGTGTCCAGGAATTTATCCATTTCTTCTAGATTTTCTAGTTCATTTGCATAGAGGTGTTTATAGTTTTCTCTGATGGTAGTTTGCATTTCTGTGGGATTGATGGTGATATCCCCTTTATCATTTTTCATTGCATCTATTTGATTCTTCTCTCTTTTCTTCCTTATTAGCCTTGCTAGCAGTCAATCAATTTTGTCTATCTTTTCAAAAAACCAGCTCCTATATTCATTGATTTTTTGAAGGGTTTTTTGTGTCTCTATCTCTTTCAATTCTGCACTGATCTTAGTTATTTCTTACCTTCTGCTAGCTTTGGAATGTGTTTGCTCTTGCTTCTCTAGCTCTTTTAATTGTGATGTTAGGGTGTCAATTTTAGATCTTTCCTGCTTTCTCTTGTGGGCATTTAGTGCTATAAATTTCCCTCTATACATGGCTTTAAATGTGTCCCAGAGATTCTGGTACATTGTGTCTTTGTTCTCATTGATTTCAAAGAACATCTTTATTTCTGCCTCATTTTGTTATTTACCCAGTAGTCATTCAGGAGCAGGTTGTTCAGTTTCCATGTAATTGTGCGGTTTTCAGTGAGTTTCTTAATCCTGATTTCTAATCTGATTGTACGGTGGTCTGATAGATAGTTTGTTGTGATTTCTGTTCTTTTACATTTGCCGAGGAGTGCTTTACTTCCAACTGTGTGGACGATTTTGGAATAAGTGTGATGTATTGCTGAGAAGAATGTATATTCTGTTGATTTGGGGTGGAAAGTTCTGTAGATGTCTGAAACCTACTTCTGTCAACTCGTCAAAGTTATTCTCCATCCAGCTTTATTCCATTGTTGGCGAGTAGCTGCGATCCTTTGGAGGAGAAGAGGCGTTTTGATTTTTAGAGTTTTCAGCTTTTCTGCTCTGGTTTCTCCCCATCTTTGTGGTTTTA